TAATTAGAATATCATTGTTTACTTTTAGAGATTTAATGACATTAAATTCTGTAACGGCCAGGTTAGGTTTATTCAGTTCATTTTGGGTTATCAGGGGTTTAATGTTTTCTATTAAGGGTTTTATTATGTTATTATTAAGTATACCGAGACTTTCTACGTTGGATACAGGCTCAAATATCTGAAAAGATTTATTAGTGACATTAAATTTTAAACATTCAATTAAAACAGTTACCAGATCCTCAATTTAATTACATTTTTATTGTCATTGGAAGCAGAGAGATTGTTAGGGCGTTTAGTGACAATGATTTTAGTCTTTGCCAAGAAGGCTTTTTCGCTTCTTTACGTGAACAGCATCATCTTGTATAAAGAAATTGTAGTCCTGACTGTGGAGATCATGTAGTAGGCTGTCATAGACTTTGGTGGAGATTGTCCTCTGCATCATTCCTTTATTTCGGTTGATTTCTTGGAGGAGAAGTTGCAGTTGTTTCCTTGTGTCTCTGATCCGCAGTTTGTTATCAAATTAAAAGAGTGGAAGGCGAAACAGGACAATAAACGCAAAGCCTGATGATAGATGACGGAATCCGAAAACCTCCGAGATGGGAATATCGCCTTAGAACTAACAAGACATGGAAAGAAGTGAAAAGTCAGTACGCATTTAGCAGATTCAGTTAGAATGCTTGCACGGTACCTGGCGTCGTCTTCTATGCAATGGGATAAAAAGACGACAAGAAACAACAAAATGTGGTTATTCGCTTCTGAATATGGCGAGGTTCGCTTCTACTGCCGTTGTGTGATTTTCTCTTACTTTGTAAAACGTTTAAAATTCGCTGATGGCAGTTAATAAACATATTCTCTTCAGCCAAAGGCCAAGCTACCACCATTGAAAAACACTAATCCACGATCCTTCAAACAGTACGCGCCCGCTGTCATCGCCCAATATGATTTACCCTACGCCAGTTGGTTGGGAGGGGTGCTTTGATATCCTTTCTCTGCAATGAATAATTTTCATATATGTTCGGCTTACAAACTTATAACCCTAATAGCCTATGTCTAGAGATATGAACTTGCGTTGACTCTTGAATTCAACTGAAACAAATAATACTTTCTTCTTGGCGTCAACATTTAGCCTCGCTTTTGGAGACCCAATCCATAAGTTTAGATTATTTATAGTATAGGTACTAGATCTGTTCAAGAGCAATATCGATTTCATCAAAAACCGGTTGTTTATTTAATCAGTTAAGCAAACTTTGTGAAAAGCTGTTTGACATTATTATACTAATGAGCAAATGACGGAAAGTTATAAGGTACTGAAGACAGTCATTGATATCAAATCATTTCTAATATTAAAACATTTGTTTAACAATTATTATGCAAAGAAATTATGCAGGTTCTAAAAGGAAAGCATGGATATCTTACTCGAAGCTATCTTTATTGATGATGCGGGCGTAGTATTCGGATGTTTGAGGATTAGCGCCGTAAAAATCTTTAACAGCTGCCTGGATTCCTTGAATCAAGTCGGCTTTCACGCTTTCCTCACATAAGACATAGTCCGGAGCCAAACATGTCTGGCCGCAACTAAGGAACTTTCCCCAAGCTATTCGACGTGCAGCAATTTTGGCAGTGAAATCAGAAGTAACTATGACGGGACTAAAGTACAAATCTTTATTGACAAAAAATATAATGAATTTTTAATCATATTTAGAAATTTGCTTAAGGCTGTACAAACAGCTTTGCAACTAATTTTCGAACTTGAAAATGATGATAAGCAAACCGCGGTTGTAAACTTAGAGTTAAAATTTTGCTCGTAATAAACTCTCTACTATTCAGACGAGGGCATTCAAGCAAAAAATCAGTCATACCTAAACTTTCAATAAAACATCACATAGTATCACGAATGGAAGTGCAAGATATGATAGGGACGGAATGACACCAGGGCTTGCGTTTCTCATTGATCCAAAAGGCAACTTTGGCTGGTACTCGCAATTTGCCATTGGTAAGATTTATCATACCAAATTGGTTGAAGAGTAAAGATCGCCAAGTAAATTCCCTATTTCATTCAATACGTAATCACTGCTGTTTCCTACAAATTATAACGCCGCACCATTCCTCTTATATGCCAACAACAAAACTGTTTGAATACTGGGAAGCAAAGTACGTTCGGACATTACGTCAGATTCCCCGTGTTGTTCACACGCGCCGATCAACCATGGTCCGTAACTCTCTCATCAGATCTGCTATTCGCAGAGGGGGACAATGGGAATAGCGTATGGTAGGAAAAAGACATCAAGCAATCCTAGATCGAACCCAGAAACTGGAAGGAACGACGTTAAGACATATTACTGCTTACCATTTTCCGCCAAGTTCCAATGTCACTGGTGTCAAATGTTCGCTGGCCGCTCTAAGTACGAGTTTGCCGACCCTGTTTGACCCTGTAAAAAATATATGATCGAAACGCTCTTTCAGAAGTTCAGCTGTCGCGGCGGCATCAGCTTTAACAACTTTAATGACATCCTGGAAAAATATTAGAAATCTGAAAACGTTTTAACTCCCGATGATATGACATTACTGAATCGAGATATTTCGGCACCAAGGTCCCGATTAGACTTTCCGTATAAGACGCCATTTCTGATGGTTTCAAAACAACGCAATTGCCTGTAAAATTTTGAGTCAGTAGCATTCAAAGCGAGGACGTTTGATTTCTGAAAATAAAAGCCTAGCACCTCTAAATCTAAATAGATCCAGAGGTGAATCGCTAAAAATTCCATTTAAACGACATTAACTAAAGGCTGATGGGACAAGAAAAAGAAAACACTAACCTATACTATTTTACACTTATTCTTTCATCGTTGTGGGAAGTGAATTGAGAAACGTCAATTCATTTGTATTAATTTAGTACTGCAAGTGCATGAAGCGACGAAGAAACTGAACTTTACGGAATCTAGCTCACGAGTCGCCATCCTTAGATTAATATTAATAAAGAACCCCCA